ACAAGCAACAACCTTAATCAACTCCTTAACCAACCCTTCCACCGCCCTAACTCTCTTCCATCTCTACTCATCCCGCAAAGACTACAACCCAACTCAACCCTTCTGCATTTCCCTCATCACCAAACTAGCCCAAGCCAATCAGTTCTCCCCAATCGACACCATTCTCAAATCACTCCAGCCTCACCAACGACACCGTTTCACCGAAGATTTCTTCTTCCATCTCATCAAACTCTACGCTCATCAAGCCCACAGAATCGATAAAGCCCTTGAAACTCTCTTCATGATGCCCAATTTCGGTTCATGGCCATCCTCTAAAACATTCAACTTCGTTCTTAATCTCTTGGTCAATAACAAACTACACGACGCCGTTTTCAATCTTTATTCTTCCGCTTCCAAGTTAGGATTCCAAGTCGACGCTTGTTGTCTTAATATTATGATTAAAGGGTTGTGCAAACAAGGAGAGATGAAAGCTGCCTTTAAGGTGTTCGACGAATTTCCAAAACTGGGGATTCAACGGAATGAGAGGACTTTTTGTACGTTAATGCATGGGTTATGCGAGAAAGGGGATGTGGATGAGGCTTTTGAGTTGTTGGAGATAATGAAAAGGGAAAAGATTTGTGTTGATGTTATGGTTTTCAATGTTTTGATTTGTGGGTTGAGGAAAAAAGGGAGAGTGGGTGAAGCCAAAGAGGTTTTGGAAGATGTCATGATGAGGAATGGGTGTTTCCCTAATGAGAGTTCTTATCAACATGTTTTGTATGGGTTGATTGATTTCAAGAGATTTGGTGAGGCTAAAGAGGTTGTTGAGAAGATGGCTTTGAAGGGTTTTGTTCCTAGTTTTGATTCGTATAAAGGTTTGATTTTGGGGTTTTGTAAAGAGGGATTGGTTGAGGAAGTTGATTGGGGTGTGAAGGGTATGGTTAGGATGGGTTTTGTTCCTAGGATGGGGATGTGGAGACAGATTGTTAAGTGTCTTGTTGTGCATAGAGACGTTGGTTGTTCTTTTGATATAATTTTGGATGTTGATTATGATTGAAAAATACAATGTTGGTGGTGGTGTTTTTTTTAAGGTATTGTTACATGAAATTTAAATTTGTTATTCAACAATATAATATTTTAGCATTTCTCTCTTTTATATCTTGTTTTATATTTACGGGTACACTGTTCTATTGGTATTTTGTATAATGTTCAAAAAAGTTAGAATCATTTTCATTTTTAAAAAAGGAAGAAATATTAATTTTGAGCGAAAACAATGTTTAACTGGATTGAATTGCATACTAGTTGGCTGCTTTTAAAATGTTATTTGTAATAGCATCTAAAATTGTGTAGTCTATCTACTACGAAGTCCCCAAAATAAAACATCTCATTTACATTATCTGGTATCATATTGCGTTGTTGATAAGTATGAAAATTATGTGATTTTCATTATTGTTTTCACAAACTTATTTATTTAGATGCATATAAGTAACTTAGAAAACCTCTCATTTATGCATAATATGAGTTTTGTAATTGTGAATTGATCATATTTTATAACCTTTTGAATGTAATAGGTTCAGTGGATGTAAAGCAGATCAAGAGTCAAATCAAATGGGGCAAGGAATTCAAGTCTTAAAAGGCCAAAGTCAAGCTTAATCGTTGGGAGAATTTCTCCTCAACCAGCAAATATAACACAGAAAGATTGGCATGTAAACCAGAGTAAATCCATTGGGTGGAAAAACAGGGTGAATTTGTTGTGCGAATCACACCTCGCCCAACTAATTGGAGGCTTATTTCAAAATTGTTTTAGGCAAAAAAAAAAACTCTAAAGTGAATTCTTTGAGCGAATTATCTTTTACTCAATGAATGAACACAGATTCTTAAACCTATAAATAGGCACTTACGTTATTATTTAGATATCATATAGTAAATATTGTGAATTTTTTACTCAAATAATTTATTTTTTCAAATTTATTCTCAAAATAATTTAGGTCTCAAAAAAATTCTCAATCTACCCCACTTTCAAACAAACAAAAAAGTTGAGACGAAATGGTGTTGCTAGACGAATTGGTGGCAACACTTATTTTTCTAATGGAGGCGCCAACTAGATTGACGACTGCATATGGCATTGCCAATCCAATTGACGTTAGTGTACAAATTATCAAAAGAGGTGTCAATTGACCTGATAGTGGTGTATATTGTGAATTATTTTAGTATAAATAGAGGTGTCTCCTACTATTTACTTCACTTCACACCTCATTTCAAATTCTTCTTTTATTTTCTTCACTAGCTCTATAAATATTATTAAAAGATATGGACATGTATGTTATTTCGCAACGTAACCTCCGATGAAAATGTTTTTTTGGAACATTCAAAATTTCGGACATCTTAAAAGGAGTTTGAAAAGTTAGTTAGATAGTGATATTAATGATGAAGAAAGAGTTAGAAGTATCGAGAGACTTGTTTCGTACATCTCAATTGCAGATGACAATAATATTATGCAGCGCATGTGGGTGCAAGTTAAAGTTGACAATGATGTTAAGGATATGATGTCTACGACAGATGACATTGTTTTGATTATTGTAATCTCTTAGACATGTTGTAATGTTAAGTCTTTTTTATATGTTGTTTGTGTTGTTGGTTTATGCGTAGTTATGTTGGTATGATATATCGTGTGTTGTTTGTGTGGGAAAATTGTTTGTTTTAGGGGTGTTTAGAGGAGTTTATGTTATTTTTGTTGTAACCAACAGTTGTTATATATATATATATATATATATATATATATATATATATATATATATATATATATATATATATATATATATATATATATATATATATATATATATATATATATATATATATATATATATATATATATATATATATATATATATATATATATATATATATATATATATATATATATATATATATATATATATATATATATATATATATATATATATAAAGACAAGGTTACAAAAAAGTAAATGTTCATGTAGAACTTGCTCCAACATTGAGACAATTTGTCTGAATGTGTCCAGGCTGATGACATAAACCATATAATCTTACCATTTTATCAATCGTATTCATTTTTGTTCTAATTCGCGTGTTGTTGCAATGAACCTTTTTCTTCTGTAGCATATTCTCGTTGTGCCAAATATGCCCCTTGATATGCAGACCAATAATCTTCTAATGATACCACTGAAAAGCTATTGTTGTACACATTGAAAATATTTATGACTTTGTAAACATTGGATAGATGCTTGGAAGCATATTGGAGAGCATATGAATATGCTGCCATGACATGGGAGCAACGCATACAGAAGACTTGAAATTTACCACAACCGCACCAACCTCTATCCAGTTGGACTCGATAGTCTTCATTCGGACTCCCCTCATTGTGGTCCCGCGTTTCCTTTACACTAAAAGTGTGTATATGAATGTTAAAGATTGTAATGACATGTGTGCTAACTTTGAGAGTTTCCTCCTTCATCACTTTCATGCAACTTTAACTGAACATTTACCCTGGCCGTAACGCCAAACTCCATTTTCGCCTCTAGTTACGAAAAGTGATCCCAACCTAAAATAGGTGGCTCTCACCAATGTGATTATTGGTAGGTTTTTAATGCATTTGAAGACGTTACTCATGAATTCAACAAGGTTTGTTGTCATGTGGCCTCATCGGTGTCCTTCGTCAAATGTTCTTGTCCAATTCTCCAATAGAATGTTATCCAATTGGCGCTAATGATTGGCCATATACGAGGTGTCTGCGCATCTACAAAGCATGTGAGACAAGACATAGCATGAGAATTCTTTCACACCTACGCCATGAAGCATGCGCAACTTGCAAACCTTAGCTACCCAATGACATCTCCAGTCTAATTGGCAAAGCTTTTAGAAAATGAAAGTGGTTTCCAATTGATTTAGTGCCACCTGTACTTTATGTATGGCTCACATTAAACAGGTACAACTACTTAGTATCTTTTGTTCCTTATAAATACACATAAAATCAGTTCATTTTCATCAGCATCAACAAATAATACTCTGACATTCTCTCAGATTATCTCATTTGTAAGATGGCTTTATTTACTATGGGTGAAATGCACAAAGGAACTCGCGCCAACATTGAGATTTATGTAAATGTTTAACTCGCTACTATAGGTTATATTTTTTCTAACACGTTATAAAATAATAACTTTACAATATATATTTTTTAAGGATCCATCTAGGTTTCGCATTCGTCAACATGAATATGTTACCCCCGACGTTTTGCTTCAACCTTATATTGAGCTTCTTCTTTTTCAAGGTCTGCAATAGAAATCTCATATGCTCCGAGTGTTCTTCATCAAACTTCGAATATATCAAGATGTCGTCGATAAACACAACCACAAACAGATCTAGATACAGATGGAATATTATATTCATGTACTCCATCAGCATTCCATGCACATTAGACATGATAACACTAAAACACACTGCGTATTTGGCTCAAATTGCACATGTTTATTGTCGTTTAATTGTTATTTTATTGTATTATGCTTGTGTTTTATCTTGTTTTCAGGTACATTTCCTAATAAGAGCCTTCCACGAAGAAATGGAGCGAAAAGAGCAGAAAACAGAGTTTTGGGTGAAAATTACACACACGGCATTCCACATGGCGTTGGCCATGGGGGTAGCCATGACGTGTAGGGTTTCTCTCACTTTCTAACCGTCACTTGACCATGTCCACCACCATTTGTACACATGGCAGACTCCATGTCTAGATGGCGGGCGCCATCTGTGTATTGGGTGGTCTGGTCAAGGACGGTTGGAGCATGATGCCATGACCAAAGATTTTTCCTCCACACGATTTCTGAAGGAGCTACGTAACTTCCAAGGCATTGTTACACTATAAATAGGACCTAGATCTTTAGTTTTAGGCATCCAGTCTTAGTTCTCAGCATAGGCATATATTCAACGTTAAAGCGATAAACAGTCACATCAAAGGGTTATCACACCATTGTTGTAACTGAGGTTGGAGCATCGTAGCATAGGAACTTTAAGCTTGCCGTCATTTTATTTTCAAGTCAGATTTACTTTCCAGCATTGTTCCAGATTCAAGTCTCCGACTTGGAGCAGGTTTTATTTTACGCATATTTTTATTATTTACTTTCCGCCTTGCTTTAATTTGTTTAATTTCCGCACGATTTATTTATCGCTTTTTATTTCAGAGATTTGTTTCTAAGAGTGAACTTAAGAGTGACACTTTGGTTCTTACCCTTGGAAATCGATCACGTATTTATTTTTTGCATGATTTATTTATTGCTTTTCATTTTAAAGATTTAATCTCTAAGAGCGAACTTAAGCGTGACACTTTTGTTCTTACTTTTGGGAATCGATCACGACTTTATTTTGCTGCACGATTTATTTATTGCCTTTTATTTCAGAGATTCGTTTTCTAAGAGTAAACTCAAGCGTGACACTTTTGTTCTTTTGAAAACCAATCACGCATTTATTTTCCCGCACGTTTTACCTATCGCTTTTATTTCCAAGATTCGTTTTCTGAACTGAACCTATGAGTGACACTTTCGTTCATTCGAAAAACCAATCATGCGTGTTTTATTTCCTTAAATGATTTATTCTAAAAGCAAATTATTTATTATGTTTAGCACTATCATGTCTAGCTAAATTTGTTGTACTGGGATGTGAGGACCGTCGTTTCGACGGTACTCCACATGTTGTATTCGTAGAAACACTTTAGGGGCTGTCTTAGATTTTAATGCAACTTTTTTGAACTTAAATTGATCGGCCATTATGTGAACGGGGCCGTGTTTCTATTTATGTAATAACCGACATCAGGTAAGATCGAAATCCGTCTGATACTTTAGATAGGAGGTGGTTAGTTTTTAATTGGTAAAAACAACGAAAGCGCTTTATTAATTAATTAGGAAAGTTTGGTATTATTAGAAAGTGATTTTAAAACTATTTTCGGACACGTTTATAGATTTAGGATCCGGTTGGCCGAGCATATGTCGGAAACCCTTTGATATTAAAGTTTGCAATCAAAAATACTTT